AATTGCAACATTTTGAGCATCGTGTGATTGCCGATCTGAGCTCCTTGGTTCTCTAGGTTCGTTCGTGTGTTTACTATTCTCTATATTCTAAAAAAAAACGCAACAGCTTGCTTGATGGAGCTGCTGACCCTGTTCACCTTGAAATTGATGTTGGATGAGGTGGTCTCTGTTTAGATGTAATCTACAGTTTCGGTGTATGTTTTGATGAAATAGATGAATTTGATTGGAGTGTCGTGGAGATTTGGACTGTTTGAAAAAAATCGCGATAGTTTGTTGAATTGAATTCTGGTCGGTGGGATTTGAATCTGATTATTGCACTGAAAACTCTTGTGTCATATTGGTACACATCGGGTTATGGTAGAGAATAAAGGTGTAATGGCTGAAGTTGTGTCTACATCCTCTAGTCGTTTGACAAAGAAGAAGTTAGAAGGTATCACCAATTTCCAGCAATGGAGAAATATCGTGTTGCTAGTATTGATTGGGAGAAAGCAACGGAATCATCTAACAGGTAACAGTTCTGCCTTTGATAGAAATTGGGAGACTGTAGATGCTAGAAATCTTGGTCAAATGTTGAACTCCATGGAATCCCAAGTTGCAGATTTGATTACACATATTGATACAGTGAAGGAGTTGTGGGACTACTTGAATGTCCTTTATTTTGGACAAAATAATCTTTTAAGGATTTATGAAGTATCTTTTGATTATAATAGGGATAATAGAAAGGGCGCCAAGTTTTTTGCTAATTTTAAATGGATGTATAAGGAGCTTAATTCTCTATTACCCATTACATCCGATGTTAAGAAGATGTAGGAGCAACGAGAGAAATTGGCTCCTATGGGTTTTTTTGGGAGGACTAGGACCGGAGTATGATGCAGTCCATTCCCAAATACTTGGGGAGATAAGGTGACTTCACTTATTGAAACGTTTACTTGTGTCTTGAGGGTTTCACATGAACCATCTAAGGATGCATTCTCTAATGGTGATAGCTCAGCTTTGGCAGCCCAAGGAAATCGTGGTGATGGTTGAGGTTGTAGCGGTGGCGGCTGTGGTTTTGGTAGAGGCTAACCACCCTCATCTAGTAACACAGCTAGTAACACTTTGAGGTAAGCCTATCACATACTGACCTTGATATCCTTATTGCACATCGCAAAGGAGTTCGTAGTTGTACCCAGCACCCTATTGCACAATTTGTCTCCTATTCTGGTCTGTTTGCCTCTTTTTGGGCTAGTGTGGTCATCATTGATACACATCCTATTCTTAAAATTGTTGCTTAAGCTTTATCTAGTTCCAGGTTGGAGGATAGCGATGGAGGAGGAACTATTGGCACTAGATCAAAACCAGACTTGGGATCTTGTTCCTTTGTCTGCAGGGAACACATCAATTGGATGTAAATGGGTGTTTACTGTCAAGGTTAATCCCAATGGTTCTCTTGCTTGCCTCAAGGCTAGATTGGTTGCTTAAGCTTATGCACAAGTTTATGGGGTCAATTATGGTGATACTTTCTCTCTAGTGGCTAAGATGACCTCGGTTAGCCTGTTACTTTCTTTGGCTACTTCTGCATGCTGGCCTCTTTCTAAGCTTGATGTTAAAAATTCCTTTCTTCATGGTGATTTACATGAAGAGGTGTATATGGAGCAACTGCTCGGGTTTGTTGCTCAGGGGGAGTATGGTCATGCCTGCCGTTTGAAGAAATCTTTATATGGTTTGAAGTAGTCTCCCAAAACCTGGTTTAGGAGGTTTACCGAGGTGGTGCTCTAGTTTGGACTGGTTAGATGTAGTGGAGATCATTCTATGTTTTATCGTGTTTCCGGAGCTGGTCAGATATTTCTTGTCGTTTATGTGGATGATGTTGTCATAACTGGAGATGATTCTACAGGGATTGATGAGTTGAAACTATATTTACAAAAGCAGTTTCAAACAAAGGATTGGGACGACTTAGATATTTTTTGGGTATTGAAGTGGCACAGGCGAAGAAAGGTATTCATATCTCACAACACAAGTGTGTTTTGAATTTGCTTATTGAGACAGGTATTCTAGGAGCTAAACCACTAGATACACTAATGGAAGCTAGCTCGAAATTGGTGGCAGAGGACGGTGAGTTGTCAGATGATCCGAAAAAGTATCGAAGGCCTGTTGGAATATTATATTATCTGATTGTCACTTGACCTAATATTTCCTTTCCTGTGAGTGTTGTGGGTCGGTTTATGTCTTCCCCCCGTACCTCTCATTGGGATGCTGTAGTTAGCATTTTGAGTTACTTGAAGAAAGCTCCAAGTCGCGGTTTCTTCTATAAGGATCATGGTCACAAAAAGGTGGAAGCATTTTCGGATGCTAATCGGGCCGGGTCTCCTATAGATAGGACGTCTACATTGGGTTTCTGCACATTTGTGGGAGAAAACCTAGTATCTTGGAAGAGTAAGAAACAAAGCGTTGTGGCTAGATCCAGTGCAGAATCTGAATACAGAGCTATGGCTCAAGCTACTTGTAAGTGAGTCTGGATGAGTCAGCTATTAGTTGAACTTGGATTCAAAGATCCTGCGCCAATAGAGTTGTGGTGTGATAATGAGGTAGCTATTCATATTGCTTCAAATCCAACATTCCATGAGCGTATTAAGCATATCGAAGTTGATTGCCACTTTGTCCGTGAGAAGCTTCAGGCTGGAATTTTTTCTACTAATCATGTTAGGACCGGTGAACAGTTAGATGATATTTTCACCAAGTCTTTAGGGAGTAGTAGGGTTGAGTATATTTGTAACACGCCAGGCATGCTTGATATTTATGCTCCAGCTTGAGGAGGAGTGTTAAAGTGTTAAGAGGGTAATATGATTATAAAGTGTTATTTAATTAATAATAAAAATGTCAGGAGTGACGTAACTTAATTAGTCTTTTATGCTCTCGTCTTTTGTTCTATATGGAGATTAATCGATCCTGTGGAAAGGACGGGGCCTCACACGGATCAGATTTGAGTGGTTCCGTGGCTAGTTTTGGTGGGTCTACACAGTACAACAATAATGAGGATTGGCATCTTTGCATGGTGGAACTTGGTGCTTACTGCTTTCTCTTTTCATGAGGACCAAGCTCGCAGTTAAAGCCCTCTCATGGTCCCGACTCAAGCTTTTGTTGCAGAATACGCCACGTGCTATTCACCTGGTGGAGACATGAATCAATAATGTTCATTGTTCAGGACACATGATGCCACCAGAGTCCTTTCAATACAAAGATTGAAAGGAATCCAAGGAAATCAGAGGTCCCCGCCCTTTAGTGTAGCTTATACCCAACGTAGTTCCAGGATTAGTTAACGTCCGCATTAGGTGTTTTGATTCATAGTACTTGTTACTAGGCTATTGGTCTAGAATAAAAATAAAGGGGAAAACACGATACGTAGGTTTCTCGTCCGGATGCATGGTCGCTCTTGCCACTCAGGTATCTCACCCTTCAAAGGTGGGAATTGTGATTGATGTAGGAGTTCCCTTGGGATCAATCCACATCCCAAAGAAAATCAAGAGCGACCTTCCTTCCTTCCTTTCCCATCTTTGCGATCCCTATGTAACAACCGTCCCGTTTCTTTCCTCATGATTGCTTTTCGAGCATACAAGGTTCCATCCACACATTGAATAATGACCGAGATGGCAAAATTAATCTACACTATCAATTTGTGAACAATGTGGATTCCTCCTTTTGAGCAATCAAATATGACATGTTCATCTAAACACTTGCTATATCTCAAACTTATTTTGCAGACTGATCTTATAGTTTGTAGCCCTAACAAAATGAAGTGGTTCTTGAAATGTTAAAAAGATGTAAGCAGGGAATCCTATTCACTTTCCATCCCTGACCACTTCCTAGAACTGCGGCCAGCTTTGCAAAGAGTTGGAGAGATTAAAAGTTCAAAGGTGAAAGAAGCTGCGTGATCAAAATTTTCCGTTCACTTTAGCTTTTACCAACATATGCACTCGAGGACGATCCGGGTTTCCCTTCCCTTCCATACACATGCGCTAGATTGTATTTTGTTTTTCTTGAAAATATCCGAAACAAAGTCACAGTCGAGCTTCGGGTCTATTCACGATGCGGTCGTGTTTTCCTTGATCCCCAGTTGGAGGAAGCCTTCTGATTGGTGGGTTATAAATATGAATGTCACCCACGTCTATTTTTAATTAGAGTTGGCTATGGCCTATATCCATATAGTGTAGCGCCCTTTCGGATGCACGGCCTCCAGTCAAGAAAAAGGGAAACTATCGGTCATTGCACAATATTTTATGCCTCTTAATTCCCAATTTCTACCACGCGCAACATAAGGTTCTGATCTCCCATTGTATGCCTTTTATATGGTTTGCCAGTGAACAGAGTCATAAAACATATCCTACGGCTTCGTTTGTTTCATGAAACGTGAATGATTTCGATAATATTTTTCTATGAATGATTGCTTGTATTGCTCGACATAATTAATTAATGAATTTTTTTAATTATCAAAAGCAATTTATATCTAAATATTTTTTTAGACAATCATTTTTGTAAGCGACATAAGCGATGGTTTTCAAAAAAATATTTTCCAAATCATTTATTTTTTCCGGAACAAGTGCACACTACAGTTGCTTCTCTTTTGGGATTTATACTCACTTCATGCATGTTCATTTTTGTAATAGCAGTACTTTAGAACCTCCGATCAAAGTTTATCATACACTGCATAATTTGAACTCGATCGCCTGTCTTCTTTTGATGAATCCTTCGTTGTACTGCCCTACTTCACCAAATATGAAACACGTGCATGATAAACTGAGCAAAAATTTCACCAAAAATACTTCAAAAGGCACGCAAAACTCACAAGAAAGAACAAATAGAGAAGAAAAGGAAGAGCTCAGCCTCATCAAACAGCAAGCAGTACGATGTGAAACCCCAACGTTCCCATTTATGCTGCTGCTGATGATTTTACGGGCTTTTCTTTTAGACAATCTCGGGCGAATATTGTGAAAAATACTGCCAAAGGCAATAACAAAAGGCATATTCTCCCGCATATTTCTTGCGTTGGTTCTATGTAGCCATCGGCATCGGCATCAGTACGACTTTTGTTCATCACCTCATCAGTAGAATCTCAAGTCTATCGATAGTTGTCCCCACGTCCTGATCTTCCTTTCCCTCATCTAGTTGATGAGTTCAGAAATACTCCATTCATTCCACGTGCAGTACATACACAGATATCACAATCATCTGATCCACATAAAATAGTTTCTCCCATATCATGCATGTCGAGTTGCTGAATTCTCAAACATTCAAGACCCTCAAAGCTATAATCCATTATCTCCGCCTGTTTTCTTCCTCCAAGAACTCAAGAAGTCTATATAGAGAAGCATATGGCGGATGCTCATTGGCTGGTTCTTTATGTCACAGTAATTATGGTGAGTAGTGCACGGGATGCGAATGGTGCTTTACCAGCTGCGACCCTAAAAGCGATAGCAGAAGCTAACGCGAACGGCCCTTACATCGGCATCGTGATTCCTAACCTTTTCGAGATGGATCCGCTTCTTAATTCGTCGAGCTACAATGCTACTGAAATCATAGATTTCGCAGGTAACAACTGTATTATGTCTTGACTTACAGAGTTTCCAAGAAAACATGGAAAAAGCTTTCTTGGTTGGACTGGTCGGACTTGGACATGGATTCTTTGTTTACCTATATGAATGTTTGGATCAGTCAATGATCATGAGCCTTGATGGAGCAATGTTGGGCATATCAATTTTTTGATATAGTTCTTTGACTAATATCAGATTAGTAAGTAAAGTTTCACTAAATACTTTAGTTTTCTGTAGCATTTTGCATACCATTAGTTAATTACCGACTCTTAATGACTTGTGGGAAAAAAGTAGACATTGCCCGAAAATTTTTCGGGCATGTGTGACTGCGAAATTTCACTGAAAATGCAGTAACAACGAAGGATTGGAGCAAAGAGATGTGTAGATTGACAATGGAGTGTATAAAGTGACACGATTTGATACAAAGTTCAAACCTTTTCACGGACATTAAAATGGTTAGCTTCCCTAATAACGTTCAGGAAATAATCCCTAACAAATCTCTCTATTTCTTGACGGACTCCAAGGAAGAAGATTTCGATTCGGGACAGTCGAAGAGAGGAAAGTCATACTGGTCATGACAGGATTGAGCGTGGTATGTATCCCTGTACCTTTTTTTTTTCTTGAATTTTCTTATAACTTTTTTGTAAAATTTTCAAAATACAGCTTGACAAAGGCTTAATTTGGATGCGACTAACATGCTCGTACGTTACGATATTGAGGGAAAGTACATATGAATTGGTGCAGATAAACGCAGCCATCACTACACAGCTTCTGTTGAGCTTCTTCGATGTAGAGGGAGTAATTCATTATGGAATAGCTGGGAATGCAAACCCTGCTTTGAACATCGGAGACGTCGCTATTCCCCAATATTGGGCACATACTGGTCTTTGGAATTGGCAGGTTTTCGACTTATCAACCCAATTTTTAGATTTATCGAAGTCTACAAGGAATTGTTTTATTTTTTTGGGGTCGAACTACAAGGAATTGTCAAAAATTGTATAGGGATAATGACACAAACAGTCCCTGAACTTTGGCCCAATGTGCAATATGGTTCATAAACTTTTAATTTGTTTAATGTAGTTCATGAATTTTAGCCTAATGTTCAATGTGATCCCTGAACTTTAATTTGCTTAATGCGGTCCTTGGACTTTTGATACATGTTCAATGTAGTCCCTGAATTATATGAAAATATTCAAGTAGTTCTTGAACTTGAATTAATGGAATGACTTCATTGAACATTTTCATATAGTTCAGGGACTAAATTGAACATGTACCAAAAGTTCATGGACGACATTGAACAAATTAAAAGTTCAAGGATCATAGTGCATATTGCGTTAAAGTTCATGGATCATATTGAACAAATTAAAAGTTCATAGACCACATTACATATTGGGCCAAAGTTGATGGATTGTTTGTGCCATTTTTCCAAATGTATATTTCGAAGGAGATAATTTTACTTTTTTTGGCCTTGAAATTGTGGGGGAAACTCTCACTCGTTCTCAAAGTACATAAGAATGAAACTGTCAATGCGTTTCGTCATTCTTTAATTTTTTCCTCCTAAGTTGAATGGGGTTTTGCATTGACATTTTATGGAGATGGATAAAATATTTCATCGTTCCTTAATAAAAAATGGTTAGTTATCATACGGTCATCCACACTGATTAGATCAATACAATGGTGTGCACACAGAGATATGGGCAGGGTCCAGAAGATGAGCTTGCATTGGAATCAAACGGAGACTACACGAGAAAGATTGGGTACTTGAAGTTCGCAAACTACACCACAAACGTGACGGGTTGCGATTCATACGACAATCTCTTGAACAACATATGGTATCAACCAGAGGAAGTGTTTCCAGTTACCGGAACTCCTGAGGAAAGACAGCATGAGTTCTGGATTCCTGTCGATTCCACCTATTTTGCAGTGGCCAAGAAGCTTGAGGTACTCGATTTCTTTTTAGGGTTTGGTGTCATATCTATTATCTGCTGATAAAACTTTACTAAAATTGATATATAAAGTGAGAGTATGGAGAATCTCAGGAAAAAGAAAGTGTTACGGGACCTCTAAAGTTATCGGAAGAGTTTTACTCAACCAAAAGAAACTTAGATGAGATCAGTAGATGGAGAAACATTATTTACATGAAAAGTTACTAAAAAGACTTCAGCAAAAATGGATTAGCATTTATCTTTCTTGTTAGTACTTGAATAATTCCGCTTCATATAGTTCGAACCGATATTTGGAAGAGAAAGTATTACAATCGTATGGAGTTTCATGAGTCAATACTCTATTTTTGCAACGAAGAACGCACGTGGCATTATAAAAATGTGAAAAGAGACAAAGTAAATTATCATTTTACAATGAAGGGTTTCATTCACACATATATATATTTTTACATATTTATGACTCGTTAGGGCTTGAAATTGGAAGCTTGCGTGAATGCGACCACATGCTTAAACTATACGCCGACAGTAAGCACTGTTGAAAGAGGCATCAGTGCCGCCATCTACCTTGACAATGCTGCTTATCGAACCTTCATCTATGGCGAGTTTAACGTGAGCCCCGTGGACATGGAAAGCGCGTCGGTCGCCCTAATTTGCTACCAACAGAATACGTCTTTCATCGCCATCAGGGCGCTCTCCGACTTGGCTGGCGGCGGTTCTGCTGAGTCGAACGAGGCCAACACTTTCAGCAACCTTGCTGCGGGCAACACGGTCGTGGTCGTGGTGGAGTTTATAAAGCAGCTTTCCTTCAGCATGTTCTAGTGGCAAGATTGACAACCTAATATAATCTCCTATACTCAATAATAAAGCAATGATCGACTGCGTATGTATCTATTTGTGTAGCAACATGAACCCTCATGAGCCTTGGACTTCGGCATAGCTTGGGAAGAAATTTCAGCAGTGGCCGACTGCCTGAATTTTTCACATTTCCTTACTTGAAATCCTCTCATAGTTATAAAAGATCAAAAGGGTTTGGTGATTCGAAGTGTTGTACTCACACTTAACTTGGGTTGAATTATACTGGATATTCATAGATTTGATTTGATTCAGTCACGTTTAAATTTGGACTCGAAGTCAAGAACTGAGGGTAACATTTAGGTCTACTTCAATCCGAACTGTGTGTCGGTCTACTTAAAGAGAAGATAGTGTCTAACTTTAATTAAATTTTAATATAAACAGCATTTCCTTATTTCCATTGAAAAAAAAAGAACATTTCATTATTCAAGCTGAATCCATAAAAAAGAAAGTCAGATCTTATGTTATTTTGACATTGACAATGAGTTTATTTAAACTTTTCGCGTCCAAGTATTTTTAGGTTTGAACTCCTCTTCTTCTTCTCTCTCTCTCTTTTTTTTTTTTATAGATTTTTTGCTAGAACTTATTAAACAACTAGGCAGGCTTAATGGAAGTCATGGGCCTAGCTAGGGCTCGTTTCAATCATAGAGCGAGAGATAAGGGCAGAATATCATGATGGGCTAGGCCAATTTGATTAGAGATGCTCGGCCTATTTTGTGGTGCAAAAGTCCCAAAAGCAGTTGGTCAAGTGCTTTGAGGAAGCAACTCCTGAACATTTTGGTGGCATTGTTAATCACCATTCACCAAAACCACACCATTTGGATAGGCTGCATGTCAAATGGGTTATAGTCCCAGCTATTTAAATCGCAACATTTTGAGCACCGCTGAACAATATTTGATAAGTGGACTTGATTATTCATGACTCAAAAGTTACCTCATATTGTATATCCACGCATGATAATTGATGCTTATATCAAGCATTTAGATCCAATAGAATTCAAGTGGTAAGGTCTGATCCATCAACAATTCACTCGCTTGCTTGAAAGATCTGTATAAGGTATGTATGAAATTCACATGAATCGATACTCATCAATCACAATTTTTATAGTGCCGACGACCCGTGATTTTAGCAAATTGCAAGGTTGCAACTGTCAGCAGCTTATCTTCATAAGGGCCAAAAATAAAAAAAAGAAGAAAATTCAATAGTTTGCAGTAAAAGTGCACCAACCCGGCGTGGGTCCATAATCAGTATCCTACCCACATAATTTCTTCAATTAATGGAGGGAATCTTGTGCAGTCGCATGTGTGGCACAGCTAAGCTCTCGAGTATGTCCATTGACTCGAGAAAATGGATTTCTTTTTCCCCAACGTCAATTATAGCTCTATGGGCAATGGGGGAGTCATCATGAACAAGATGACAAATTTATCAATTGCCCCCTCCCTACTTCTTTTCAATAATGTAAGCCAGAGGCCATCCATTTTTTGGTCCCACTTCAGTACATTCTTCAATCAGTTGGAGGCTTTGATGAAAGCAAACATCTCCTTGAAGTACATCCGGATGCTTCGACGTGAATAGAAGAAGAGAAAATACTAATAAAAAAAAACACAAAGTGATTGAGCTGAAAAGAATTGGTGAAGTAATTGTCTTAATCAGCGAGTCCTCACAAATTTCCTAGGCCATGACAAGAATAACCTGTTTCCGATCCGAGCCAAAGAATTGGGTTTGTCTTGACGTCCGATGCTCGATCGGCGATTCTCCATTTCTCTTTCATTTGTTTCACTTAAATAGGTAGCTGGCTTAAAGTATAATCGTGGTCAATACTTTTTATATGTGAAGTTGAATCTGAGTCTTGATTCCATAAAGCATTCGACAAATTGATTGATTGATTGAGGGTTTTCACTATTTTAATGTCAAAGCCACATACGCAAAAGCATAGTGAAAAAGGTACGATGAAGAAGACGACACCGAACTCCACACTGACAAACACACTTAATGGCATAGATAAGTAGGGAAAAAGAAGCTTTAACCCAGAAAGAAAAAGGTCAAGCAACCCAATGAGTGGATTAAGACGATTCTTTAAGCTGCTGAAGAACTAGCACTTGCATCTCAGCTTTTGCGTTGGTGGGTGCTTCAATGTAAACTAGGAACATATCGACAGATGATGATCAAGTATAGACAAGATGTGATGTCCGAACTAGTTTCTACTACATGTGCGACTGACCAATCAAAGTCTGGTTTGATGTCTCAGGAATCGCCTCGTTAGTGACAAAGATGCCCCTGTCTGGATATTGGGATTGGTGGTGTAACTGGTGTTAGGAATTTTAAAGGGAAAATGCTAGAGGCGTATTATAAGTTTAATGTATAATTTGGAATGATTAAGTGGTAGGTAGATTATCTTCCTCACCCTTGAATTTGGATAGAGTCATTTCTGCACTTTTCTTTAGGCTACTTTCATAAGTAGGGATTTATATGCATCGGTATCTCGAAAGACGATGTAAAGGGCAATATGATTTTCTTTAGAATTGTCTCCGGAGCACTTAAAAAGCATACTCAATAAGGAATGGATTCACTTTTCAAAGTAGTGGTTACATTGTCACGATGTAGTTGGTGTATTAAAACCTGCGAAATTTTCTCAATTAGTCGGTTAATGAGTGCTTTGACGAAATCATTTTCTTTATAAGTTTTTGTTCGAGTTCCGAAAAGAATAATTTTCTGACACTTCGAGCTGGTTTTCATGTACCAATTATCCACCTCTCCAGTCCGTTAAAGGCAAACAATTTGCGTCGAGAGATTGGAATAACAATTTTTCTCTGTCTATTTCTCTAGGAAAGATTACGGGGAAATTATTTCCTTCAATGGTATCTGGGTGTTCCCGTAATTTCCTTATAGAGATAACGCACATGCAATTACAGGCATGCCGTCATAATTCTTGGCGCACGGACCAAAGGGGAGACTCACGAGCGTTATAAATTGGAGCACCGTACTTGGAAAGGCCAGTACTCCTTTGAATGTCATCGGGAGGCCTCTTGTTCCAACTCGATTACTCGAAAATGGCGAAAATCGCATTAGGAGACGGCCGTGAGGCTACTCAGCCGGACTGCCTCAAGGCCCTCGTCATAGAGTTCGTCGCCACCTTCCTTTTTGTCTTCGCCGGAGTCGGATCTGCCATGGCCGCTGGTAATCACTCTCGGTCTGTCTTGATGAAAGAGTGGATGGTTTGTGACGGCTTAGTCATTAAAGAGCACGTCTTATCCTGATGATATTAATAACAAGATTTTTGCATATAGTTTAGATTCTGGGAATATATATTTCTTTTTCTGGTCATAAGGTTAGGATTAGATCATATTGATAACGAGAATGTTGGTGAATCTATTTGATCAGAGAGGCTAGCGTCAGATGCTTTTGTGGGGCTGTTCGGCGTGGCCATGGCGCATGCGCTCGTGGTGGCCGTGATGATATCCGCCGGCCACATCTCCGGCGGCCACCTCAACCCTGCCGTCACGCTCGGCCTCCTTTTCGGCGGTCACATCACCGTGTTCCGATCGATCCTGTATATGATCGACCAGTTGCTTGCCTCCGCAGCAGCTTGTTTTCTTCTGCAGTATCTCACTGGGGGACTAGTAAGTCATTCGCTCTCCAGCCTAGTCTTGTCAGGCACGAACGAAATATCAATACACAATGACCGCATAAAAGATCAGAAACTAAGTACTGCGCAGTACATTAAAAGCTAAAGCTTTTGGATGACAAGATTATTTGTACATTAGATCAATCTTTAACTCGTGTTTGAGCAATCTGAGATTCTATCATTGCACTAGCTTCACGCATTTGCGAAAAGCATTATGTTTGATCATCTGTTTTTTCCTGCAACACTCACAAACTTAACGATCTAATGGATTTCTTAATGATACTTTTGTGAAGAAGCTTCACGTTCTAGCACATTTTCTTTGAAATGGGCGTTATTTCTTTTCTTAAACTAAAAGTGAGAGAAAAGTAAGAAAGGTCAATCAAATGATGGGTCTCCGAGCTGTCTATTCTTGTCCTCACTTCACTTTTTTACAGAACTTTATGACTATTTTTTTCTCAATTTGTGCAGGCTACACCAGTACATACACTTGCAAGTGGAATGACCTACCTCCAGGGAATAATATGGGAGATTGTCCTGACGTTTTCCCTGCTGTTCACCGTCTACGCCACCATCGTGGACCCCCGGAAGAGCTCACACGGGGCCCAAGGCCCGATCCTCACCGGGCTCGTCGTCGGGGCCAACATCTTGGCCGGTGGAGCCTTCTCGGGGGCCTCGATGAACCCGGCCCGCTCCTTCGGGCCTGCCCTGGCGAGCTGGGACTGGACAGACCATTGGGTCTACTGGGTCGGACCCCTCGTCGGCGGCAGCCTCGCGGGGTTGGTTTACGAGAACTTCTTCATCTGCAGATCTCACGCCATTCTTCCGACTGCGGAAGAGGCTTTCTAATCCTGAGTGATGTTTGTAATAGGGACTTATGTATGGTGGGCTTTGAAAAATACTCTGGTAGTCCAACTCAGTTTGTGTAAAATCCCATGTTGCTATGCTGCTGAATGAAAGACGATGTGTCGTGTCGTAAGATCTATTTGCAATGAGCTATTCATTTGGCCGAAAGAAGACTTCGGTTCAGATAAGAAAAATGTCACCTTAACGTCCACAATTGTTTTTAACACAGATGGTCAATCAATATTTGTTAGCAGATAACGTTTCTAAGTACAGTGCCATGGGCTTTTAGTGAAATTCAAAATCCATCATAGACGTACCAAGTCGGGACTAATGAATAATTAGATAAAAAGCAGCATAAGATAGGAGGCAGAAGAAAATGAAGGATGAGAAACGATAAGGAGAAAGTAGAGAGAGGGTTTCTTTTATCTTTTCTAAGCATAGTAATTAACAAGAAAGGGTTTTTCTTTGGGTTCGTGGTTATGGCGAAAATTGTGTTAGGTAGCAGTCGAGAGGTCACTCAGCTCGATTGCATTAAGGCCCTCGGGCGTCGTCGAGTACGTATCCACCTTCCTCTTCGTCTTCACTATGGTAGTCCCTGTCGTAACCGCCGATACAAAATTGCATCCAAATAACACTTAATTGTACATGAACAATATGACGAATACAGTCCATCCGATTAAGTTAGGCCGGAAATTGCTTACGTGGATGCCGGCTGTCCTACGTGGCACGGCCGGCACTGACATGAACAATTTTTTTATGAGTTTTTTTGTTTTTTATTTTATTTTCTTCTTTTATTTTGTTTCGTTTCTTTTTTTTCCCCAATAGTGGGCCGGCGAGGCCCCAAGCGAGGTTTGGGCATGGGCTGCGATGCCCTCGCCTAGTTTGGGAGAGGGTGCGGAGGCCCTCGCTTGTGGCAGGCGAGGGCGTCAGGCGTTGGGCCCTCGCCCAAATTCAGGCGAGTGTTAAAAGAACCTGAAAAATAACAATAAAATTAATAACAAGTAGGATGTCCGGTATCCGCGTAAGCGATTTCCGGCCAATATTGGCTGGATGGATTTAATTGGTAAAATGTGAAAATGTTTATGATTCAATTGACACAATTAAAAGATTTAGGACTGAATTGGCAAAAGTATAATAGGTTTAAGACATTTCAGACAATTTTCCTTAATTGAAAACATCAATTTTTGCTCGATAAACCCATTTCTTGACATGTTGCAATCAATTTCTTTAATTGGAAGGAATATGGGGGGTTGCCTACGAGCCAATTGTTCTACACACATTGGTGTAGCTTTCCATGGGTCGTGAGTGGAAACTTTTAGTTTCCCCCTTTTTCAAACTAAAGAAAAAAAAAGCATTTCTTCAATGTCTTTAAGCAAATTTGGTTGTGTTGTAGACATCAACGTATCAAACTGGAGCTGTGTATGAAGAATTGACACATTTTGGAAAACCATTTTCTTGCTCTACACAGACATTTTCTTGAAAATGACATGTGACCATATGCGTTTACTTATTCCCTAGGACCGATTTTTCCTTATTGAAAAAAATGATGCAAATATTCACTTTCTTCTGGAAAAAAAAAAAAAAAGAAATCACCAAAGGTGTAAAAAGAAATTAATAAATTTTGGAGAGGTGGGTCTAGTAGATATGAATTTAATTAAAGAACAGCGACATGTCGAACTTTTAAGTAGCGCAGCGAGTTTAAATTCTGAACGAAGAATGAATGCATTCCAAAATTGTGTAGTGCGAATTAGGTGAAGGAATGCAAAGTTTTTTTAATGTCACTTTTCACAGTAGATATCTGCACGAGCACTGGCGTTATAGCAAGGCTGCTCGGTTGGTTGGGCTTTTGATCACTCATTTTGTAGTTGAGAAAAAGCTTATTCAAATCTTAGTCCAATTTCACAATGTGGCCCAAAAGAGTAGGTACGCGATTTGAAGTGCAGGAAACCACATGGGTATTTCCTTACCCATGGAAAAAAGGAAAAAAAAAAAAATTGCATGTCGTCATATTTTATGACGATATGGTGGATAGAGTTAAGCACGATCTTAGAAAAAAGTCTTTCTTCGATAGAATCTGTTGTAAGTCTCACTATTCTAGATATGTAATTGACTCAATTTACTTAATAATTCACGATTAATAAGGAATTCCGAGCTACTCGACAATCAATTTGATTCTTGCTACTGTGGCTCATGTACCTTGAGAAAAATTATTCATCGCTCTCGAATGTCCAAGTTGGGTGGGAGTGAGTTGCCTTTGATAGGGGGACTGAATATAGCAACAGAGGTTGATCCGAAATATCACTTGTACACAACTCTAAACAGGAAAAAAGAAACAGATCTCCTCAAGCAAATATGGTTAGAGGTGTGCATCTGTTGCTATATATTTGACAACCATAGTGGGGTTTCTTTCATTGTTAATGGAGGCTACTGCATGATTTTTAGTAATGGCTAGCTCATATTAAATAAGACTTAAAATGTAATGTACTTCTTGGATTTATGTGTTAGTTTAATAAGATCCTACTTATTTGAGCTTATTCTATTGAGAATGGAAAAAAAGAAGTGGATCATTCGCGACATGAATGTGGGCTTTTGCCACTAGGCTCTCAAGAATCTCACACCAACCACAATGCTCTTGAGATAGATTCATGCTGCGGAGGGTACAAACAAAGCTTATAATAATTACTATGCAGTTGGTACTCTTGATGTTGTTGGTTGTGAAGGGAAGGCATTGTCACCACCATATAAGGAGGACCTTAGTTAGGTTGATAAACTCATTCTCATTAGGCCAACGGTAGCGTATTTGATCATCAAACTTTATGGAAGTGATAGAAGTTAGATTTTAAACTATATGAAAATGAAATAGATTACCTCCGGTATTGACATAAAGGTGATATTAGTTAAATGGCGCATTATTGTTATTACCAGTGTGTTGATTATGGCTCGAAGTTGATCCCGATTGATATGAAATCCAACCCATATTTTAATTGCAAGGTGTTGTAGCAAACGCGGAAAAGCAAACACAGAACACGAGGATTTACGTGGTTCGATCACAACGTGATCTACGTCCACGGGCGAGGCAAGACAAGATTCCACTATAATCAAAGAGAGTACAGTTTTCAGAAGTCGAAAAACGTCAAAAGCTCACGGCTCATAAAAACTCTCGAAAACAAAATTCTCTCTGTACATCAATGAGAAAACCTAGCCGCGGTATAAATAGTGCTCCCAAAAAAATTTCCTCGGGGGCATAGCTCTCGAACTCCCCGAGACATTTGTTCGTTACTCCAGCTCGGGCGGACCGCCATAGAGATTTGTTCACTTGCTACGAGTTGGGCCTATCGGCCCAACTCTTCGCGTCGCGAACTAAATCTCAATTTTCGGGTCGCACAAAAATATGTCGGGTCGGGTGTTGAACCGGACCGAGAACATAAAATTCAAGACATATTTAACAAATCTCCACCTTGGCTTGAATTTCCCAAATAAAACAGTCAAGAAGCCGAACACATTCTCTCGGCATCCCTAAGCCTACGTGAGCTAACTCGGTGTAGGAAACAAGGGCTGCAACGAAAGAACATATCCACTTCAAAAAACAAATGTAGAACTGTCATTTACCTCTCCACCAAAGCCCCAGAAGGGGCAAACTCAACCGAGCATGCCAATCAAGTTCAAGCAATGCTTAAACTTGTTGGCCGGGATTGGCTTGGTCAACATATCAGCAGGATTGTCAGCTGTACCAATTTTCTTTACCGTCATATTTCTCTCAGCAACTGCCTCTCGAATAAAGTGATACCTGACATCGATGTGCTTAGTCCTCTCATGATATGCTTGATTTCTAATCAAGTATAAAGCACTTTGATTGTCACAAAAAACAACCGAATTGTCTTCCTGCTGGAGCCCAAGTTGCTGAACAAGATTCCTTAACCAAATACCTTCTTTCACTGCTTCTGCTGCTGCCATATACTCTGCCTCTGTAGTAGACAAAGCAACTGTCGACTGTAAGGTTGACCTCCAACTAATAGCCGAACTAGATAGTGTGAAAAGATAACCAGTTAAAGATCTCCTCTTATCGAGATCACTTGCATAATCGGAATCCACAAATCCCACGATTGAAGTACCGTTGGAACTGTTTCTATCAAACACTAGGCCCAACTCTGCGGAGCCTCTAAGATACCTAAGTATCCATTTCACTGCCTGCCAATGGACCTTTCCAGGATGCGCCATATATATCTACTAACCACACTAACTGCCTGCGCAATGTCGGGACGAGTGCATACCATAGCATACATAATGCTACCGACTGCACTGGAGTATGAGACACGAGACATCGCAACCTCCTCGACCTCTGATTGAGGTGAATGTAGAGCTGAGAGTCTAAAATGGGATGCCAACGGTGTACTCACGGGCTTAGCGTTTTGCATGCCAAACCTCTCAAGTACCTTCTCAATATAACTCCTCTGCGAGAGATGTAACTTCCCTCCTTTCTTGTCTCTCTGAATCTCCATTCCTAAGATCTTCTTGGCAGAACCCAGATCTTTCATCTCGAACTCCTCACTGAGCCGTTTCTTCAAGATCAACACTTCTGACATGTTCTTTGCAGCAATGAGCATGTCATCCACGTATAAGAGAAGATAGATAAAGGATCCATCTGAACCCTTCCTGAAGTAGACACAACTGTCATAGTTGCTCCTATGATAACCGCTCCCAATCATAAAGCTGTCGAATCTCTTATACCACTGTCTTGGTGACTGCTTCAGACCATACAAGGATTTCTTCAATCTACAAACATGATCTTCCTTGCCTTCTACATAATAGCCCTCGGGCTGGGCCATATAAATGGTTTCCTCAAGCTCGCCATGCAGAAAAGCAGTCTTCACGTCAAGTTGCTCAAGCTCTAAGTCAAATTGAGCAACTATAGCCAGCAACACACGAATGGAAGTGTGTTTTACCACAGGGGAGAAAACTTCATCATAATCAATTCCCTCCTTCTGGTTGTAGCCTTTAGCTACGAGCCGAGCCTTGCATCTAGCATTTTTAACACCTGGAATTCCTTCCTTTTTCTTGAAGACCCATTTACACTCGATGGCTCTTTTTCCTTTAGGCAACTGCACCAAGTCCCAAGTCTGGTTCTTATGAAGTGATTCAAGTTCCTCAACCATAGCAACAGCCCATTTCTTTGATTTTGTGCAAGTAACAGCTTCCGTATAGGTAGAAGGCTCCTGAATACCCATATCTTCTGCTGTCGTAAGAGCATAAGCCACCAGATCAGAAAACCCATATTTCTAAGGAGGCCGGGTCTGCCTCCTTTCTCTGCCAGTAGCAATAGAGTATGGTTGCTCCACCTCATCTACAGCTTCCTCATCTGAACTTGAATCAACAGGAGCATTTTGCTCGTTCAAAACATTCTGAGAGGTCTTTTCTGGAAGCTCCACCTGAACCTCCACCTCATTCATATCACTCTCATGTTTTCCTGCAGACTCATCAGTAACTTTCCTTTGATCAAGCATATGCATTTCATTAAATGTAACATCCCTACTAATAATGAACTTAGGTGAGTTAGGTTCCTGGCACCATAAACGATAACCTTTCACCCCATCAGCATACCCAACAAAAATACATTTCTTTGCTCTAGGTTCTAACTTACCATCCTTAACATGATAATAAGCAGGGCATCCAAAAACCTTTAGATTAGAGTAATCACAAGGCTTACCTGACCACATCTCAAAAGGAGTCTTGCATTCTATTGCTGTTGAAGGAGAGCGATTAACCAGATAACAAGCCGTGTTAACAGCTTCAGCCCAAAAATCCTTTTCCATGCCAGCATTAGAGAGCATGCATCTTGCTCTCTCCAATAGAGTTCTGTTCATACGTTCTGCCATTCCATTCTGCTGTGGAGTGTGCCTAACTGTACGGTGTCGAACAATACCTGCATCTGCACATAATTCATTAAAATCGCCACCACAGAACTCAAGACCATTATCGGTCCTAAGACGTTTAATCTTCTTCCCTGTCTGATTCTCAACAAGAGCTTTCCACTTCTTGAAGGTTTCAAACACATCACTTTTTCTTTTCAGAAAGTAAACCCAAACCTTCTTGGAATAATCGTCAATGAACGTCACAAAGTAAAGAGCTCCACCCTTAGATGGAACCTGTGCTGGTCCCCATAAATCGGAATGGATATAGTCGAGTGTGCTCTTTGTCGAATGCATCCCTATACTGAATCTGACTCTGCATTGCTTGCCAAGAACACAATGCTCACAGAAATCTAGCGAGGTCGTCTGCTCCCCACAAAGTAAACCACGTTTACTCAAAACTGACATGCCACGCTCACTCATGTGGCCCAAACGCATGTGCCACAATTTCGTTCTATCATTATCAGAAACGGAATTGCTTGTGCCAATCGAAGGACCCATAACTGTGCTACCATGCAAATGATACAAGTGATTCACCTTGCTTCCTTTCATCACAACCAGATTGCCTTTTGTAACTTTGAGAACTCCACCTCCACTTGAGTACACACACCCAATGGAATCCAAACTGCTCAACGAGATAAGGTTTCTCTTCAAGTCTGGTATATGTCTTACTTCAGTCAAGGTTCTTACTGCTTTGTTGTGGCACTTAATCCGAACAGTACCAATACCCACGACTTTGCATACAGCGTCATTCCCCATCAAGACTGATCCACCATTCAATAGCTCGTATGTGGTGAACCATTCCCTGTTTGGGCACATGTGATATGATGCTCCCGAATCCATTATCCAAACATCATTGGACAAATTAACAGCAGAGCATGCTGTAAGAACACTGTCTGATGCATTAGCCTCATTTTCGTTTGCAACATTCGCCGAATCTTGTTTTTGACTATGCTGCTTATCCTTTTTCTTGAGCGAAGGACAATCTGACTTGTAATGTCCCTTTTTATGACAATAGTAGCACTCAACGTTCATCTTATCTCCAGGTGGCTTAGATTTTGAACGACCAACAGATTTCCCTCGAAAAGCTTTATCCCTGCTCTTGGTCCTGCCTCTCACAAACAAACCATCTGCTTTGTTTTCACTGGTATTCCCATTCAATTTTGTTCTCAGTTATGCAGAATTCAAAGATGTTTTGACATCCTCTAAAGTTATGGATTCACGTCCATAAAGCATCGAGTTCACAAAATTCTTGTATGAGGCAGGCAGTGAACATAACACGATCAAAGCTTGATCTTCATCCTCGAGTTTAATATCTAAATTTTTCATATCCAGAACAATTTTATTAAACTCATCCAAATGTTCCTGAACAGACGTACCTTCACGCATCTTTAGGGTATAAAGACGCTGCTTCAAATAAAGTCTCGATGTTAGAGATTTCTTCATATAGAGACTTTCCAGTTTCTTCCAGAGACCGGCCGCTGTTTCTTCATCGGCGACTTCTCGCAAAACCTTGTCATCAAGAGACAACTGGATCGCGCTATGCGCCTTCTCGTCCATCTCTTCAATCTCAGCCGAGGTCATATCGTCTGGATATTTTCCGTCCAGCGCCCTAACCGTACCCTCTCGCCTCAATAAAGCCTTCATCTTTATTCTCCATAATCCGAAGTTGTTCTGTCCGTCAAAAGATGAGATCTGAAACTTCAAAGATGCCATCTTGCTTGAATCCTAGAATCGGACGCAGCTCTGATACCAGTTTGTTGTAGCAAACGCGGAAAAGCAAACACAGAACACGAGGATTTACGTGGTTCGATTACAACGTGATCTACGTCCACGGGCGAGGCAAGACAAGATTCCACTATAATCAAAGAGAGTACAGTTTTCAGAAGTCGAAAAACGACAAAAGCTCACGGCTCACAAAAACTCTCGAAAACAAAATTCTCTCTGTACATCAATGAGAAACCTAGCCGCGGTATAAATAGTGCTCCCAAAAAAATTTCCTCGGGGGCATAGCCCCCGAACCCCCCGAGACATTTGTTCGTTGCTCTAGCTTGGGCGGACCGCCATAAAGATTTGTTCACTTGCTACGAGTTGGGCCTATCGGCCCAACTCTCCGCGTCGCGAACTAAATCTCAATTTTCGGGTCGCACAAAAATATGTCAGGTCAGGTGTTGAACCGAATCGAGAACATAAAATTCAAGACATATTTAACACAAGGAAACCCAAAACCAGTATAAGGAAAGTTCGATTTGAACTCTTGCCAACAAGATCGACGGTGATGCACAAAAAGGGATTTTATTCCCCATAAGATTTCTTAGTTTCCAAGTTGATGTCAAAGAAGAGCTTATTGTTTTTTGTATATAAATATCCCGTCGTTGAGTTTAATATCTAGTGCATTGTGAGTGCGCTTTTGATACGTGTGAACTTTGCGAGAGACACATAAAGCGTTGAGAGCCGTTATCCAAGAGAGTTCAAAGTGTGAGAAAACTCATTTCTCGTGATTGATTCTTGTCCGTTTGGGTTTAATCTAGGATTGAGAAATACTTATGATTGAGTGTGATGAGTGATTATAATCTCATTTTTGCTAATTATAGCGGAACTATTTTCTTCAATCTCTTTCCATGGAGTAGGCACATCGCCGAATCACGTAAATATACTTTGCTCAGGTGTTATTTCTGCAATTCATTGCTTGCTCAAGTGGTTTCGTTTGTTCATGCTTCCGCATTTGTCATAACAAAATTATCTTTACTATTGATATGACTGATCAAGCATTGGTTGACTTAGGTTAAACTGCAAAGACCTACTTGATCCAAGTAAATTGGGTTGTAGACCCTATTTGATCCAAGTAAATTGGGTTGAATGTTGGTTGTCATTATCAATGTTCGTAATGATAAACAAGCACGACAAACATAACCACAAGAATCATTAAATCTCGCACACATCAGATGCAGTCACTCTACAAAAGAGTCAACTTTCGTTACGTATATATGTGCAAGAATATATTGCCATCTCGTAATCTCATGTCTTTAATCACGCGATGTCATATTGCTGTTCATTGACAGACAGTGACAACAACTTTAATTATCTCGAAGCTATGTAATTTGTCGGGTCCTTCCCTTTTTCCAATGTGCATGCACCGCCTATTACATCACCTAATTTTGTCTAGCCTGAAACTTGCATTTTTTTATAAAGTCCGTTCTTATAGGCCTGGCCGTCTCGGTCCAAAATGAAACATTAGTGTATTTGCAACTATTTCTTTTAAATATAACAAGAAAAGGATTAAAAAATCCATCGTCTTCCATATTCTTATGCAGAAGCACAGGCCAGGAATAGTATCTAGTTGGAGGTTTTTGTGATAATGTAACATTTGGGATTTTGAGAAATGCTATAATGTTGTAACAAAAGATAATCTATGAAACCTACACAGTTTATAGCCCGAAGATGATCTGAAGTATTAGTCACAAATGCTTGATACTACATAACTCATAACAATTTGGTCAACAAAGAACTACAAAATATTTTCGACGTTCGATCTGTGAGCTTTCTCCTCCGCCACTCGCGAGTCTCTTTCTCGACCGGCGAACCATTGAACTGTCCGGCGTACCATCGGCAACCAAAGCTGTCTCATTCTCTCTTCCCTTCCATTATAATTTCCCAGAACTTCTTTATTTCTGTGCTTCGTACTGAATGCGAACCTTGAAACGTTGACGATTTCGGACATGGATCGTTTCTCAGCAGGATTGCTTATGAGCTTTGATGAATTCTCTCCAGGATTGGCAAGCGCATTGCTGGAACTGGCGATTGTATCAACCTTGGACTGAAACAACCTCTTCCTCTCTATGTCCTCCTTAATCTTGGCCAAATGTTCGTTCGCCGTGAAATCGCCATTGAATCTTCCACTCCTAGATTCCGAGTCTGCGAATCTTCTGCTCGAAAAAACATTGATCATTTCAGAGTTCAAGAAGAGCAAGTCAGAAGAGTTGACGTCGCTCCACCGGCTCTTGGCAACCACATCAGAGACGATGATCTTGTGCTTGAACTTGTGGAGTAGCTTTTGATCGCTTCCACAGTTACCACTCTCCTCATTCAGGCATTCTTCTCCGAAATTCGGTCCCTTTTCTGAATACCGGAAGCTGATTCTTTCGCTATATCGAGACGAACCGTGGTTGTTATCCGCTTCTCTCTGCACGATGAGCTCGAGATTTGCATCCTCCAACAAATTCGACGGAATACGCTGCGAGAATCTCAGGCTCAACGAATAAGCGAAGCTCGTGAGGTCCCTAGGATTGAATTTGTACCGGCAAAGCGGACAGCTAGAGTGGCTCTTGAGCCACTGGTCGATGCAGTTCGAGTGGAACGCGTGCTTGCACCGCGGCAACAGGCGTAGGGTCTCTGAGTCCTCGAACTTGTTGATGCAAACCGCGCACTCTAGGCCTTCTTTCGAGCCCCTCAGCGAGGAGAACCTGAAGAGAGGGAGAGAGTCAATGACTTCCCGGTCGATCCCGGAGAATCGGGGCCTAGCCCCGTTTAGGCCTTGGTTGTTTTGGGTGTCGGAATATGAAGGACGGGACGGGTTTCGGTGACAGAATTTCGCGTATGCGAGGACGAGGAATGTCACAGATAACATCATAGCTATTATACCTACGATGACTGCCAAGCTAGGATGTACAGGATGGATCATTTCTGGGTCAGGGTCAGATCCTTCTTTGTTTTGAGCTCTGGCAAGTTGGAACAAGAGAAAAATTACCAAAGAAGCTCCCAAGTTCTTCATGGAAGATGCGTTCTTGTAAGATAGTCCTGTGTTTCAGCTTCAAAAATACTGAGCATATGTATAAAATCTAATTAAATCCCAGACTATGCTCAAAAGTTGTTATTATAGGGATGAGCTTTGTCATGTATGACTCAATTTTATTTATTTATTTGTCTCATGGGTTTTGTCCGTACATGTTATGTCTTGATCTGTCTTCCTTTTCCCATCTTACTTTAGGTATGTACTTAAAATAATATTTTGGAAAATGTAAATTTCGTCCTAAGCAGAGAACCTGGAGTTCCTTAACCTTTCCAGATTCTGGCTTTCTTTGCTTTGATTCTACATGATTTAAACATTTTGTATTTCTCAATTGATTGGTCAAATTCAATCCCCAAGGCTCTTGTCGTTCAAAGATGCCTGTAGCTTTAGCATTTAAATGGTGGGACAGCAAGAGATAATTATGCTTTAGTCCTTATCAGGGGTCTAATACATCTCTATAAGGCTATTGACAAAATACAAGATTAAAATAACGATAAGAAATTGAAAAAAGAACACCAAGAAATTTATTATTTAATGTCTCTGGAAATGGATGATTGCATCTTCGGGATACACCCTTCATGATTCCTTGACCGTATTAAATGAATCACATTTTATAAGGTCACGTCAAATGTATAAATCTTAGAGTTTCTGATGTGTTTCATGTTTCATTAGCAGCTGGACGTTTACCCACATTATTAAAAAAATTAAGAAGCAAAAACATATAAATAAAGAATTCATACAGTTAGAGTAAATGGTAAAAATTAAAATATTAATTTATAGGTAGTTTCTCCGGGAATGTAAATATGTAAAACGAAAAATCAAACTATTATTATCTAAGAACAAAAAAAAAATATTATCTCCTCAATAAAAGGAACATAAGATTGATGGTCAAACTCTAATATAAAGGAGACAATGCAATACGTGGCAAAACTTTGAACGGAGAATAGTAAGAATTGGATCAGCGGTAATGCGCATCGAAACTATGTTCGGGTATGCATCTTCATCCTTGTTCGTAAGATGAAAATCAAGAAATTGACAATATTTTAGACAAACGAAAGAAAATGAACTTTCAACTCTCTATCTTCTCCACTCGAGGGAGGTCCCATTTTCTCAATTCGTGTTTGAGATTTTCTCCCCCGATCCGATCTGGGAGTGTTTTGTCATTTTCATCTAGTTTTTGTTTTGTTTTTTCTTTGCGCACTGCAGATGCTGTTGTTTGCTTGCTGGGTGCATTTCCGCTTCCATATTTAGGAATCAACTTGCTCTTTCAGATCCTCCAGACCAAGAAGTCCAATAGGATCGAGGAGGAATACTGTAAATTCCTATTGCACTGGAAGCTGTTATACGGCTTCTCCAACTTTGGAAGCTCTTAGCTCCCATAATAAGATGATTTAGATCTAGATTTGGGAGCTTCTCTTCCAATCTAGATCTAGATTTGGGGGTTTTTCAGAGGAGTTTCGATGCTCGTCCATATTCTTTTGATCTAAATCTAAATCTGGGAGCCTGTTCAATTTGTTTTTGGTATCTCTGTACATTAATGGTTGAGGACGCTAAACTTAGGTGTGCACCACCGACTTGGCAAGCAGTAACTTTTGTAAAAGGAGATTTCGGTGTGTGCTCATCACTGATAACAATGCGAGATTTGATGATCAGTCGCCGTCGTATGTTCTGTTTTGATGCTGAGATAGATTCGTTCTTGTGAGATGAGAGCATGCTTTCTACAGCAATTTGTGCTTTGTTGTTCTACTTTTTTGTTTGAGATTTGCTTTGTTACGAACCTTTCTTGTATTATCTCGAGATATGAATGAAATATTTACTTTTGACAAAAAAAAAGTGGCTAAATTGAATTGAAACACAAATTGAGATTTCATTTATCCTATTCTTCCCATCATTACTTAGATAGCTGTAACAAAATCATTGAAATATACTAATCGAACTGTCAAAATAGATACATGTGCGTGAGATGGCGAAGGAAAGCATTTAAAGTAGTTATCATCAGTTAGAAACAAAATTGGGAAAACATTTTCGGAATTGTTGATTTTTGGCGAAACGAACGGTTGCTTATACTTCTTATTTTCCCAAGCACCGTGGCTCATTCATTTTCAATTTTACTTAGTGTGAAATATTTAAAATCTTTCGAAACATATAACTGTTAATTACATAAAATTGCATGTAATGTCTTTTGAAGTTTCTTTCATTTTCATTTTTGTTTCCTGCGAAAATAAAATAATGTGAAACCCAAGTCCTCTCCTCATAGAGCGGGAGAGATTTTATTTATAGAGCACATCCAAATATGTCTAGACTTCCACATAAACACGCACAAGTTGACAAGTACATCCCAATGAGAAACGTCATAACAAGCCATATACTTACACAGACGTAAGACATGCTTACACTAATTAAGCCCACAGAAACTTGACGACAGACATAAGTTGTCTGCATCATGCGGGCTAATTAGTTTTTATTAAGGTTTGGCCATGAAAATGCCATGAAATCCATACGGCACTCTTTGTGGCAACCTTATCTTCGCCACCGGGCCGCCTTCGAAATCCTTCACGTCGATTATGTGAACCTGCAAGCATAGAGCATGTCCAACATTAACAAATGACAAGCAGAAGCACGCCATCAATCCTTGTGAAATCAGAAAAAAGGACTTAATTCTCTTAAAAAAATATCAATTTTAGCCCGAAATTTCTCTTATCTCATAAAAGATCACGAACTTCACAAATCTGCCCGTTAACTTTGCTACCAATGTTGCGGTTAGAATTCCGACATGTTATCCATGTGTACATATCTTTGTGTGTGCACGATTCCGAGAGAGAAGGGCGATGAGAGTTGCGATGCAAAATCACCAGATGCCGCTCAAGAACACAAGCACCATCCTTCATTCATCAACCCTCAAAGCTCTCTGCTCAATCCCTTCGCTCTTCCTCACGCTCGCTCTTGTCACTATCCTCGTCTCCTCTCCCTTCTTCCTCCGCTCTGCGCCTTGCATTCACTCCTCCTCTTCTTCTCAAATTCCCTGATTCCCCCTCTCAATGGCCCTTCAACAACCGCATCATATTCGACGTTGCAGAGCTTCCCAGATCTCTCGACTATGGCCCCTCCTCGAGAGCTACCGTCCTCATCCCATGCCGATTCGAGGGTCTATAGATCTGATGTTGTGGCCGTTGTGACCACAGGCCTGAGCGTGACGGCCTCGGATTTGAGGCCACACCCCTCAAATCTGAGCTCAAGAGAGGGGGCTTGGAGGATGGGTGGTGGTGGAAGGCGGTGGGGTGGTGATGGACGGAGGGCTGGGACGGCGGTGAGGTAGTGGTGCAACGTGAGTGACGGGGTTGAGTTGATGGCAAGGCTGAGTTGATGCTGGTCTGGTCATGGCCAGAGTAAAACGAAGAAGAAGAAAAGGAAAAAAGAAACAAAAAAAATGTCAACATGACCAGACATGATGTGGTGGTGTTTCGCCTCCTCTTTGAAACTCACGATCACTTGCGATATAGATCTAAATGCTTTTAGGGACGAGCCAAGAGGAAGTGCAATAGGTTGAGTATTTAGGTGGATAAGAACTTACTTGAGTCTCATCAGACACTTCATTGTGAACAAAAGTTGCAATCCAGCCATAATCTTCATCTTCTCCTTCCGCACTACCATTTTTAGCGACGAACACACTTCCGCTACAAAAGTTGCTCTCCCCAAACTCGTGATATTCAACCTTGACTGCCTGCTCATACTCTCCCTCCTGGTCCAATATCAATAGACTGTATCCATTAGAAACAAAACGAATTATGCTTACAGGGTATTTTGGCTAGAGGTGGAAATAGGTGTTTTATTACTTTTACAATACACTTGCTTGAGAGAAAACTTAATGTTGGGTCAAGATGGTATTGACCCGTGAAGGATGACCTTAGTCAAAAGGGGCATTTTCCATTTAGGTAGTGTCTAATAAAAGACATGCCAAACTTTTACCATAACTTTGTTTTCCAATGGAAAAATTCTTCAAAAAATCTTAAACCTATTGCACTATTGCTAATTCAATTCTAAACCTTTTAATTATGCCAATTGAGTCCTAAATCTTTTTACATTTTGCCAAATGAGTTCATCTGGCCAATTTTGATAGGAAATTGCTGGCGTAGATGTCGGACATTCTACGTGGCATGACTGGCGTTGACGTAGAAAAATTTAAATAATATTTTAACAAATTTTCTGTTTTTTATTAATATTTTTCTTTTCTTTTCTTCTCCTTTCCTTCTTTACTTTTTCCTTTTCTGTTCTTTCTTTTTTTCTTTTTCCCTTTTTCCCTCTGTTGGCTATCGCTGGGCCTCGTCAATGGTTGGCAACCGCCTCAGGCGAGGTCCGCCCTTGCTAGATCGGGCGAGGGTCGCCCTTGGTTGGGCTGGCGAGGGAAACCCTCACCCTCACTAAGCTAGGCGAGGGTGACCCTCGCCCAGGCAAGGGCTTCACTCGCTCGGTCCAATGATAGTGGCCCTTGCTAGCCTAGGCCCAAGCATCTCTCACCCGAGTCTGACGAGGGCGGCCCTTGCCTGAGGCCAGCGTTGACCATCGACGAGGCCTAGCGATGGCTGGCGGAGGGAAAAAGGGAAAAAGAAAAAAAAAGAAAAGAAGAGAAAAGGAAAAAAAGAAAAAAAGGAAAATAGAAGAAAAGAAAAAGAAAAAATATTAAAATATTATTAAATATTGTTCACATCAGCGTCGGTCGTGCCACGTAAGATGACCAGTGTCCATGTTAGTGATTTCCGACCAAAATTGGCTGGATAGACTTAATTGGCAAAACGTGAAAATGTACATGACTCAATTGACAGAATTAAAAAGCTTAGGACTGAATTGACAAAAGTGAAATAGATTTATGACTTTTTGAACAATTTTCCCATATTTTGACTAGTATCACATAGATTTGTAGCTCCTAATAATGTTGGTCTGAATTATCCTCCCAGAATTCTATTACTTTGTGTCGAAAAATAAGG